ATTTCCCTTTAAAGGTCTTTAAAGGAAGAGGAACCAGAATGGATATTAAATAGTTTTCCTTCAAAACAAAATGATAGAGCTTTAAAGAAAATCCAACATTAGAACTAAAAAAGCCTTATTTAAATATTACAAGTACATATCATTTAAAACTTGAGCCAGTCTCTATGAAAATATATACTGTTAGGGGGAACCCTAATCTCCTTTCTCATGTTAAAGCTGTGCTCCCAAAAGAAAAAAACATAATTTGAGCATCTCTTCATCCCTTAAGTCACTGCTGCTCAAAGGAGAAGCAGAGATCACATGGTGGGTAAGACCTTGAGATTCTGGCATTGACATCTACATTCAATTTAGCAAGAGAAAAGTGTAAAAAGTCACAGTTTGCCCATGAATTGGTCTCTTTTCTCTCTTGGTCTAGGTTAAGTTTAACTCCTGGGGAAAAGGTTTTAAAAACCATGTGGCTGCAGGTCTAGACAGTGGTTTCTAATTGAGATCTACCAATAGAAAAGGACATAGTTTGATATCTACCTGATGCTTGTGTGTAATTCCCATTCAATTTGAAATTCAACTCCCTACAACATCTACATTCAATTTAGCAAGAGAAAAGTGTAAAAAGTCACAGTTTGCCCATGAATTGGTCTCTTTTCTCTCTTGGTCTAGGTTAAGTTTAACTCCTGGGGAAAAGGTTTTAAAAACCATGTGGCTGCAGGTCTAGGCAGTGATTTTTAATTGAGATCTACCAATAAAAAAGGACATAGTTTGATATCTACCTGATGCTTATGTGTAATTCCCATTCAATTTGAAATTCAACTCCCTACAACAAACACACAATGGGGTCAAGGTGTTCTTACAAATCCACCTCCTGAAATTCTACTCATCTTTAAATGTTCGTGCCTAATATTACCTATTGCAATGAATACTGAAGCAGTTGTTGAAACTGTCTCTCCTCAATGTTCCCATGGCACTTCCTAGTTTGCTTATAGCACTTTACCCAGTGCCTTACTAGCTTACAAATAAACTCCTTCAAGCCAGAGGCAATAAATGATTTGTATGCTCTTTAAACAGGGTTTTGCACAGGACTGTTCAGTTATAATTTATTAAACTCTAAAATTCATATATTCCTTAATGTTAAAAAATATTAAAATTAAAGAACATGTTTATGAAGGAGAGAATGACAGTGTGCAAAAATAAATTCATCGCATAAATTCTATTTACCCAACAAAGAAGAGCATATTTCTAAACAGTTCTGGAGAAACTGTTAGCCAACCGCCTTCAGGCAATGATAACTTGTACACTGGGAGTTTCTATGTATTTGCTGCTCTGAGAGTTCTAATGTTCATGAAAAATGCAAGCAATGTTTCACTGGAAGGATCTTCACTGATAAACTGAGGCCCTAGATTTTCTTGGGATTTCAGACATTAATCCTACTTTTAAGCTTATATATAGATGAGACACTAATGTTTAAAATAATGCAAATGCCCTTTGATTCAAATATAAGTCAAATTATGAAATAATCGAAAAAAAGAAAGGAAAATTGCAGAAGCACTCTATTCACAGGCTTCCTTGTGGCAATTAACAATCCTGTGCGTTTAAAAAACACTGAAGTACCTGGCTGATGTGGCTCATTGATTGAGCATTACCTATGAGTCAGGAGGTCATGGTTCGATTCCCAGTCAGGGCATATGCCGGGGTTGCTGCCTTGATCCCCAGTAGGGGGAGTGCAGGAGGCAGCTGATCAATGATTCTCTATCATCACTGATGTTTCTATCTCTCTCTCCCTCTCCCTTCCTCTCTGAAACCAATAAAAATATATTTTAAAAAAAGAAAACAGCAAACACTGAAGCACAACTTCATGGGTCTGGAAGACATTCATTCACCTCATCTGACAAATATTTACTGAACACCAACTACATTCCTGGTCCTCTGCAGGAATTGGATTTACAGCTGTGCAACATAACAGACACCATCCCCATCCTCAGGTTACAACTGCTGCAAAGAGTTCGATATTACAGATAATCAAGCAAATAAAATCATAACTGTTACCCAGGAAAAGGGGGGTTAAGTGAGAGAGGTAAGCAAGGCATTACGTCATCAAATACATTCTGACAATCCAAATATGCTACATACACTAGAAAATTTAATAATTTTCAACATTTATATGTTATGAAATATAAAGTATATTTTACTAAAATTTCAGAAAGGTTCAGGTTGAAGAAAGGTCACTCCCGATTCAATCTACAGATTCTATTTGTAAATAACTTATAAATTTTCTAAAAAATCAAATACACAAATCACATTTTAAAAATGTTTTCTTATAATATCCACCCAAAAAATAAGAAAGGTAACCTCCTTCAAAAATATTTCCAAGCCACGTATGGATTATTTTGCTAAAATGGGTAGTATTGATGAAAGTAGTTTCAATATATTGATGCCTAATTCAAGAATCTACATGGCATCCAATTTCCTGATAAAGTGAAAATCCTATACTGTCTTTCAATCTATCTTGACCTACAGAGTCTCTTCCAAACTTTTATACTAAACATTGATAAAAGCTACCATAGATGTCATAAATAATCTTATCTCGTTATGCATTTCATCTCAATTATTTCTATCCTTTAAGGCCCACTACGAGCTATATGTGCTCAATTAGGTGACTTATCAAGTTACTCCTAGAAATTATCAAATACTTATATGCACTATAAATCTCACCACATGTTTTCTATGCGTATGTATAAAGACACAGATTTTATCTAAAAATAAGAATTACAGAACATAATTAGTGTGATTTAAATTAAATAACAGATAATAGTACATGCTCAGTAAGTATTATTAAATGCATAAATATAATATTCAGAAACCATAACTATCATTTATTTTAAGAGTCCTTTCATTAATTAATCAAACAAATATTTATCAAGCATGTACTATGTATAACATTGTAATGAACAAGATAAATTAAATTTACCTCATAAAACTTACATTAAACAGGTAAAGTCATGAAGAAAAACGTTACTTTTTTTAGTGAATATTAAGAAATGAGCATCTATGAAGAAACTCCTGGTAGCTCATTAACATCATATAAAAATATACTGTACATAGTTCTATATATTCACTAACTTCCCTAAAATTTGCTAATAAAATATGAACTTAGAAAACATAGAAAAACTGTCACCTAGTCAACTAAATTTTATTACAAAACCAAAAGAGCAAGAAAAAATTACAAAGACCTTTACATGTTTTATATATGGTCAAGCAAGCTCTACTTCTTTTAAAGAAAACTCGACTTTTCTTTATAATGAACTGTGACACAGGAGGTCCTGCTTAGAGATGGGCAGATAAGGAAATCTTATGTTAAATGGGTTTAGTTACTCTACAGATATTTAAAATTTTTCCCTGCTAAACTTAACTAAGCTAAAATAAGCCATTACTCTACATTTTAAAAAATGTAGGTCATAATGGGTATTACTTAATATACATAGCAGTAATTAGTCACTAGTTATTTAATGTACTCTATGTGCTTTATGTAAAACTAGAGGCCCAACGCACGAAATTCGTGCAAGGGGCTTGGCCCTTGCAGCCCATGCTTCGTCGGAAGGTCGTCCAGAAGGTCATTCGGCTGTTCGGTCTAATTAGCATATTATACTTTTTTTATTATAGATACCAGTTTCAATCATAACAATAATTATATTACAATTTTAATGTTACAGAGAAGGACACTGAGAACTGAAGTGGCAGAGTTAGGATCTGAATTTAAGTTTGCCTGAACCCAAACCCTTCATTCTACTGTCTCTAGTTGGGGCTCATAGATTTTAAGCTGGTTCTCATAATAGCTTTGGAAAGAGCATTAGTGCTACTGAAATAAGTACAATATGGAAACCAAAACTTTGCATTTTTTTTCAGATAACTACACGTGTGTATATAAATACACATGTGAATAAGAAATCACTCTTTCACAAAAGTGTTTAAATTCCATGATGAAATATTTAGTCTGCTTTGAAAACAGAGATACATATACAGAGATAATACAAAGGGATTGAAAATATTTTTCAATTATGCGAATCCTCCATTTGTTGAAATGCTTTTAGTGCCACAAGGATGAAGTATATCGATAATTGTTAACCACTCTTATAAAGAAGCTTAAAGAGTAACGTAAAGAAGACACTGTAGCTCTATATGCTGCAGCACTTGGTTTGTGCTCTTGTACTATAAGAACAAATGCTAATTACTGTTCAGCCCTAATGCTAATCTCAGCATCTGCTAATTAAAAGATCACATCTTCTGCAAAGTCAGCATTACCATTCAAATGAAAACATTAATCAGTTTGAAAAATCCAAAATCAATCGGCTGAAAGGAGAAAGTTGTTGGCCTTGAGAGCAAGCTCAGAGGAGTGCCAGAGAGCCAGTCAACACGCATGCCTCAGCAAAAGGTTTACACTGTTACATGTTGCTCCCAAACTGTATCCCCTACCAGCCGTGGGCAAACTACGGCCCGCGGGCCGGATCCGGCCCGTTTGAAACGAATAAAACTAAAAAAAAAATAAAAGACCGTACCCTTTTATGTAATGATGTTTACTTTGAATTTATATTAGTTCACACAAACACTCCATCCATGCTTTTGTTCCGGCCCTCCGGTCCAGTTTAAGAACCCATTGTGGCCCTTGAGTCAAAAAGTTTGCCCACCCCTGCCCTAACCACTCACACACTACATAACGTCTTTAGATGCAATACCACCACATCATCTGGCTCTTAAAGAGACCGAGTTTTACAGTCAATGCACTACAGATGTGATTACTGACCAGATTTTTGAAATAGATGTTGCAGTTTTCAAAAAACGAATACAACTTAGTGAGATGTTTCCAGAATAGTAATACTTGCTGAAAAGCTCAGCTGCATAAATTATTTCACACTTTTGTTTGTTTGTTTTTGCTTTTTTAAAGCTAACAGGTCTTTTTTTATGATCTTTATCAACATGCAGAACACCTAAAATGCAAACTGGTGTTATAATTCAGGTAAAAGAAAAAATAGCATGTTTCATGGCAGGCACTGGCCCAGAAGGCTGCCACAGAAACACTGTGGTGCATGGGCCCTGATCCCCTCTGCTGGGCCTCAGGGATAAGTTTGGCTACAGACATCAAGGAAAAAAGAAAAGAAATAGCATGTTTCCAGTGTTACTCATGAAGTTGTCACAGACAAAAGACTTGGGTTTTGTTAGCAGTGACCTCTTCCATCCCATTTGTTACTCCTCCCCATGTCAAAGAATAGAGATTAACAAGAACCTTCTCTCTCTCTAGCAAAGGACACACAGGTACCCTAGCTCTGTTAGCTAAAAGATATTTAAATAGAAACTATTTTTTATAGAAAAATCACCCTGCAAAAATAAAAACTGTGACATAAGTATAGATAAGAGATGGCAAGATACAGAAAACATCTTATGTAATGCTTTCAATTTCTTAAATTTGAAAAATTTAATATATATAAAATTTCTGGCAACCCAAATGAATATACACACTTGGAAAATGTAAGGGTTCCTAACATTTTCAGAATCTTATTGCTCAAGAATTAAAAGAAAACACTTTAGGAAAAAATAATCTATGGTGACTTTTTACTAGTCAGCAAAAACAATGAAGTAAAATACAAAACTATAAACTCGAATGGACTACAACTGCAAACAAGTAAATAACATTTCTCCTCATCTTGAAAAAATGAGTAAAGAATTAATGTAAATCCATATGCAATACAAAAGATATTAATGTAGCAATAACTGAAATAGAAAGTCAAATTCATAGTCCTGGTTATCTAAAAAGATGGGAAGAATGCAGGCTTGAAGAGTTTTACAATAATGATTTCATTGGGCAGACAAAGAGTTTTGATATATACCACACTGAGGAAATTTAGCTCTAATTCACTTTACTGAGTTATGAAATAAATATTACTTCTTCCAAAACAACTTCATGTGACAATTTAAAGTCAAAGGAATTATTACTAGCACTTACCATGTTTTTCTTAAACTTATGACAGACAACCTGAACCTATATATCCTTCACTGACCTCAGTTATAAAGGCTAAAAATAGTTTGCTATTCAATAGCATACTGATGCATGTTCATAAAAATTACTTCACATATAACCCCTAAAAAGCTTTATTACAATAACATTCGTATGTACTAAACATTTTTCTATAATACCAAAGAATAAACAAGAAGAGCTTTGAATGGTATAAATTCTCATCTCCATGATGTATAGAGTAGAAAAATGGTTGATGTGTTCACCAAAGTAGAAACTGTAAGGTGTCTCCTCATTGACCACATTCCCCAGAAAAGGATTTTCACATTTAATACATTGATGAAAGCTACATACATAGAAAACCAATGATCTCTCAAGAGCAGACTATTTCCAAGCCCACAGAGACAAATACACATAAACAGAATGCCAACTTATCAATGTACAAGGAGATATAACCTTCACAGTGACAATACTAGAGATGTCGTCCATCAGTCTATTCTCTCCCCAAAGACAGAATTCAAGGAATCAGAACAAGAGCAATCAATGGCCTTCAATTGGTATTTAAAGTATTTGATAGTCAATATTTAATAGTCAGATGATCTATCTCACAAAAGTGATGGTCTTAGCAATGAGAGCAGAATTGATTTTCTATATGTCTCTAGTCAACCAGCTCTTCTGGAGTGACACATTATTTCGTCTGCTCTAGTAATAATTCAAACCAGTCCTAAAAAACCTTCAAGCCAGGGAGCAGCTCAGTCACCTTGAGATGGCTTTACACACCTAGGTTTCTTTCATTCTCTGCTCATCTCACTGTTTGAAGAATTTTTATTTCCTTTCAGTGTGACTTCTCTAAGCAACATGTTGGTCCACAAGCTCTAACACATGATACATTCTGAACTATAAGCATTATTATATTAGTAAAGCTTTATACAATCAGTGACCTAGCCAGAACAACATGCGGTTTGAGAAAATTAGCCTAATCAAAGGTTTGGGCACAGCCAGCGTGGCTCAGTGGTTTTATCGACCTATGAACCAAAAGGTCACACACAGTTCAATTCCCAGTCAGAGCACATGCCCAGGTTGTGGGCTCGATCCCCAGAGTGGGACTTGAAGGAGGCAGCCAATCAATGATTTTCTCTCATCACTGATGTTTCTATCTCTTTATTTCTCCCTTCCTTTCTAAAATCAATAAAAATATTTTTTTATAAAAAGGTTTGGTCTGCAAATTCAAAATTACATTGTTCAACCCTTTTAAAACTATCATAAATGCAGGTGAATACTTTCAATACTAAGTGCAAACTAGAGATCAGCAAGGCTCATTTTATAGAGTGAAGATCTGGAGGCTGAATGAACCTGTTACTGCCTGCGACTACTAGGCATTTCACTAGATACACGAGAACGTATTTCCTCTCTAATTCCTTGCAGCCATAAGAGAGTTACTGACATCTCCGCATGCAGAAGACCAAGCTAAGGCTTCCTTCCATCTCTTCTGGGACCTTCCTCTGTTGAGAGACCTTCTTCTGCTTGTATTTTCACTTCTGACTTCTACAACTGAATCATGTCCCAGCCGCTCACATCCTGAAAGCACAAGTGAGCAAGGCAATAAACATAAAAACCCACCCTCACAGGGGTCTATAATTCTCCTCTGAACAGAGCCAAATTTTCTCTTTTCCTTCCCAACAAATGGAGAAATAATTTATACTTGCTGTCTGTTCTTCCCCTCATTCAATCACCAAGCCAGTGCAGTCATCTTTCAGGCAGCACCACTTTTCACTATAACTGCTCTGGAAAAGGTCACTACATTTCAAGGAGAACTTCTGAAACTCTCTCTTTGCCGCCATTATTAAACTGAAAAAATGAAGTATTTCTCTTCCAAGCTCTTTGACCATTTCTTTGTGTTTCCCTTTAATATTTTCCATCCAGCAGCGTGAGAATTCCCCATGGATTTGTCCTTGGCCATATTCTATGCACACACTTTATGCCTTCTCCTAGTAATTTAATCCATAATCTTGGCCTCAACCTCCACTCAAAGATGCCAAAATCTATTTCTCCAGCCCAAATCCTCCCATTAGCTCCAGAACACTGTATCCAGCCCATACCCTCATGTAAAGGGAAGGAAGTCCTTTACTGAATGCTGTATCTTTCCCACCAATTTTTTCATGGTTTTGTAAGACCATAAAATGACATCACCATCTTCTCTATCCCCTTATTAAGCAATATGCAAAGCAACCTTGACTTCTCCCTTACTATCCACCTGTAATTTAATCATCAACTCCTGAATATGTTACTTCCTTAGACTCTTATACATCAGTGCACTTTTCACCATCCCCATGGATACTGCCTGACTCAGTCCTTAGCATCTTTCAAAGAGACATCTATCCAGCCTCCCTTCTGGGACAAAATCTCTCCATCCAGACCCTACACCTGCCAACTGCAAAAAGTGCAAACTCGTTTTCAGAGTGTCAAGGCCCAGGAGCAGGCTCAGACCTACCTCTCTAGCTGTCATACTCAGAATTCCTCCTGACTCCTCCTAAAAACCACCCCAATACACACACACACACACACACACACACACACACCAAATTTATTCACAAGTTCATACTCTTTCTGCCACACCATATAGGACAATATTCAGATCAGTGTCACATTGAGCCAACACTTAATGCAATCTTCCTTGTTGACTGACATGACCCACAATGTGTTTTAAAACCAGAGTATAATTATTAAAATTGCCAAGTTCTCTTCCCAGGTAAGTGTCAACAGATAATTCTCACTTTGCCAGTTCAAGATGGGCCTTACAACTCCCAAACCACAACACCGACCATAACAAGAATCTTGAACAAAGTGTAGTATGACAGTATTCTTCTCTGTCACAATTGAAGAGCTTTTCTGTCAACATCCATCACTATTAACAGAGGTCACTCTTTACCATACCAGGACTTCTGAATTACTGAGCAGTTTTAGCTCACCATAATGATACACGCCTATACCTACAACATGGTGGTAATGTTACTTAAGTTGGGAATTCAGAATATGTGGCTGTATCGCTCAGAGGTATCAGTAAACAGTTCTGATATTTTATACCTTCCAGTGTCAAGAAATTTGAATGTGCTGCTGAACCCTTACACTCACTCAGATAACACTTTCATATAAAACTGGATACCAAAATTGATGCAAATATAATTAAAAATATATTCAGTAACTATTATACCAAACACATTTACAATATAATGAACTTATTATAAAACTCATGGAAATTTAATTTTTCAAAATGAAAAATGTTTTCTTCCCAAAGGAACTGTTCTCATTGTGTAACTAAAGATGATGCTAAATTCTTAACCTAAGCAGGTCACTCATATCTATCATCCTCATTCTGTCAGTAAAAGTTACCTCGCTCCTTATTAGCCAATTAAAATTTTCCCTGAAATTCTACTAGTTACCTACAAGGCAGGGTTCATATCTATAACTATGGATTATATGTCACAATGCCCAAAAGGTAGAGACAATGAGTAATAAATTTTCATTTCCTTATTCATTTTCTAATTTCTATCCAAGTGAAAGCTGTACAGAAAGTTGAATTAAATTTCCTTATATCTACTGAAATCCTTCAAGTCTTTGTTCAACTGTGACCTCAATGAAGCCTACTCCAGCCTCCTATTAAATATGAAAACCTGCCTTCCATTCCCCCAACCTATCACTCCAATTCCCTATCCTGCTTTGCTACTTTTTCTATAACACTATCTATACTAATAAAAGGGTAATATGCTAATTAGACCAGGAGACCTTCCAGATGTCCTTCCAGACAAAGCCGTGGTGGCGGGGCCTAGACAGAGGCGGTTAGGGGCAATCAGGCCAGGAGGGGAGGGCAGTTGGGGGTGATCAGGCCGACAGGCAGAGTTGTTAGGGGCAAACAGACCAGCAGGGGAGGGCAGTTGGAGGCAACCTGGCAGGCAGGAGAGGGCAGTTAGGGGCAACTGGGCCTGCAGGGGGAGCAGTTGGGGGGGGCCAGGCCTGCAAGGGAAGGCAGTTGGGTGTGATCGGGCCAGCAGGGGAACAGTTAGGCACCGATCAGGCTGGCAGGGGAGAGGTTAGGGGGTGATCAGGCTGGCAGGCAGGCGAGTGGTTAGGAGTC